AAATTGTTTACAGGACGCCCTTGGATGGGCGCAGAGTCCTTTGTAAAGCTGTACAGACTTTGTGGTTTAAGCACAATGTGCACAGGTTAGTTTTCTATAAGGCAAGACATGATTTTTTGCAGTGGGAAAGGCCCTATTATGTTTATATATACATACAAATATGAATAAATGAATAAATAAATATATCTATATTAAAAAAAAGTAAATGAACAAAACTTTGTGCTTCATGTAAAGCTGCTTTATAAAATTGTAAAATAAAGAGAGTTTTTAATCTTACACGGCCGGCCAATGTGTGTGAGTGTGTATTGTCCCTAGGGAGAGGCCCAAATGTCAGCCTCAAGATGTTGTGGGACTGGAGGTCCCAGCAGCCCCTAACCAGCATAACCGAAGCTGAGGAGTGCTGGGAGTTGCAGTCCAACCACATTTGAAGACCTTGTGATTCCCATACTTTTCTGAAGCCCAAGAGGAAAAGTTATTTTGGAATTGGACATGGCAGCCCAGATTAAGGCAACCTTGGAAGAAATCTGGCCCAGAAAATCCTAGGATGGGTTTGCTTTTGGATCCAAAAAGTCAGAAATGGAGGCACAGAGCCACCATCTTTGGATGTCCGAGGCGTTATGAGGGCCACTTACAGCCCCATGGGCCACAATATTCCCATTCCTCTTGTGTTTATGAGGATTAAATCGCAGAGAACCATATAGGTTACCTTAATCTCCTTGGTGCAAAAGTAGAGCTGAGGAATTCAGTTGCATTTAGGACTCCCCAGTTGCGCTCCCACACTGCGAAATTAATACAGTTTGACACCGCTTTAACCATCATTGCTCCATCCTATGGAATCCTGGGATTTGTAGTTTGTCGTGGCACCAGAGCTCTCTGACATGGAAGCCTCTATCTCACCAAACTACAAATCCTAGGTTTGTATAGCATTGAGCCATGGCAGTGGAAGCGGTGCTAAACTGGATTAATTCTGCAGTGTAGATGCAGCCTGTTATCCCTGACCTCCGTCCACTCCAGGAACTAAAAAATGAATAAATGTCTCATCCTCTTTGGATGGCAATATTGATTTTTATTACTCTTCCATTTGTTAAGGAGAGGTCCAGGTGGAAAAGGAGAAGAAAGGGAATTTAAATATGTTGTCTTGGTGATGAATCTGAATGTTTTTGCTGCTCCTTTTGTGGCGGAAGGAGACGCATTTGCCATCTGCTGGGGATGATGGATCGCTTTGCACAAATAGCTCAGGGTTGCAAGCGTATTAAATAGCTCCCTCCCTGATCATTCATTGCAGCCCAAGCAAAGGAAGCAAAGCAAAGCAGCACCTTAAACTGAGAATGAAGCCTTGGCATCTCCAGGTTTGGACAGGAGCGGCTTCAGGCACAAGCTGGGATTTTCGGGTGCATCCCAATGCCAGATGCTTGTGTGAATGTGACAAGTGGGGTAGTGTTAAAAAATGGGGGTTCCTGATGGTAGATGGGATTAAAGCAAGGCAGGTTGGAGCCTGACGTAAAGAGAGTTTTAATTTCTTTTTGATCCGAATGAAGTATATTTCCTTCTTTTATATCTGTTATAGTTCTCTTCCCTTAATTTAAATGCTAATAGTTTCCTTGGCTTATTTGAAAATTCAAAATACTTTAGTTTCAGGTATCTTAATTCCTTTTCTACCTCTTCCATTATTATTACTGATATTTGCTTTTGCAAACAATCTATTTCTTCCCTTAAATCTTTTTTTCAGTAGGTTTTGTTTTTAATTAATTTGATTTCACTCTCCAGGTTTTTAAAGAGGGCCTCTTTTTTCCTTTTTTATTTCTACTCCTTTCCATATATATATGTGTGTGTGTGTGTGTATATATATATATAAACTTCTCATAAAAGCCTTTGAGGCATCCCATACCAAATTTGTTGATACTTCATTATCTAAATTTCTTTGAAAGAAAAAATTCAATTGGTCCTGGGCCTCTTTAACAACATTCTCATTTTTTTTTCATTCAATTTCCATCTAAATTCTTTTTGACCGTTCTTCATTACCATTAGGATAGGGTTATGCCCACTCATTTATTTATTTAAGGGATTTATATCCCTCCTTTCTCACAAAATGGGACCACAACAAACTTTTTTGGCAATACGCTCCAGGCCAGAACATATTGAACCTTTACCTCCTCCATCTGAGCCCTACAACTTTTAGTACTTCTGCCTCACTTGAGTTCGAGTGTCTCACAATGGACAGGATCCATGCACAATCCTCGCACAACAGTTGCACAAGAGAGACGCACACACACACAGCCTAGTGCCCTATGGACATTCATTCATCCAAAAATGCCAGCTGAGCAAACCCAGGCTCCTCTATAAATAATTTCTCAAGAGCGGGTTGCTGACATTTCCTTCGGTCACCCTCCAAGAGGGACAGAGATAAGGCCCCAGGAACAATTTTGGGAAAGGGCAAGGTGGAGGACCGGACTATCAGAGGCAAGGTTGGCCCCATCGGTGGCTTTCATGTCATGGGGATGGAGAGTCTGCTCCGGACTTTAGTCCGAAGGTCCTCTCCAAGGTTATCTTGATGTGTGCCTTAACAGTATCCCTGTTATGGGGT